GTTAGGGGCTGTTAGGGGCTCCTTATTATAAGTATAGTATAATATACCCCCAAACCCAATTCTAACTAAATCAAGGCACCTATATTACTATGTTGAGTCTGCACTACATACTTGTCTGAAACTCGTAAGCTTCAGGTTTCTGAGGATTGGAGCGTCCCTCTACTCGGCCACACCAGGGCACGCACACTCTGCCCCCCTGTGGCAAGCTGGCAGAGGCACCCGATAGTGCTATCACTACTGTTTGTGGCGATCTATTTGTCATTGTCTCTCTCGCTCTCTTTCTTTCTTTTCTTGATGTCTTTCGTTCTTTCTGTCTTTATGCATTTCGTTCGTTCCTTCTTTATTCATTTATTTGTTCATTTCGTTCGTTCGTTCGTTCGTTCGTTCTTTCCTTCTTTCCTTCCATATTTATATTTGCCTTTCCTTCCTTATCTCTTCCTGTGTTTAATTGTTTCTTTATTTCGTTCTTTCGTTATGTCTTTATCTCGCCTACTGCTGTGCATCCATGTCCGTCCGGTCTCTCGACTAAGACGCAAGGCAGCCGCTCAAAATGCTGGGTTTCGTTGGTCCAGGTCTCGCTGGCTCCAAAATGTCGTCTCGACAACATGGAAAAATCCGAGGATCTATGAATCTATGAACAGTTGAATATGGGAGTTTCCGAAAACAAGGGGTACCTTATTTTGGGGTCCTTATAATAGGGATCCTACTATTTAGGGTACTATATTAGGGTCCCCTATTTTCAGAAACCCCCATCGCACAAAACTTCAGCAAGTGCCTGAACCTAGCCTAAACCCTTAACCACAAACCCTACATCTTGAATGCAAAGGATCGATGAGCCACTTGAAGGTGCGGCCATAAAGCAGCCTGGAACGGCAAAGATAGGTTCAGCGAAGTGTAGAGTTTGGGCCAGCTATCTTGGAATCGTTTGAGGCATGGGGTTTCGGAGGTTGCGGGGTCTCATTTTGGGGCTGTAATACGGTTCCAGGTGAGATTTCACCAAAACACGAATATTAAATTAGTGACTAGTGACCCTGTCTGGCACCATAAACACAGAGAGGACTATACTTATGCACCAGGAAGCTTCAAACCCCTCGAAGTGGGCCTGAATGCGCAGTGGAGTCATTGCCGAGCCCCAAACCCGTGAAGCCCTAAACTCCCTCCCTCGCTAAACCTCTGGAAAACAATGCCCGCACAACCAACTCGATTGCAGCATTTAAAAAGAGCTCAATCGCAGCTAGAAGCCCTAAACCTTCATTCAACCCGAAAAATCTTAACCAACTAGTTTCGCCTCCCTAAACCCTAAACCCTAAATCCGAAACCCCGAAACCGCTGCAGGCCCGAATCCTGAACCCATCCAGTAGCCTTGCAACACCTTTCCAACGGTCGAAAGCCCTACGCCAACCTTTAGAGTCTAGGGTTTCGGGCACAGGGTAGGGCTTAGGGCTTAGGGCTTAGGGCTTAGGGTTTAGGGTTTAGGGTTTAGGGTTTAGGGTTTAGGGTTCAAGGTTTAGGGTTTAGGGGTTTGGGGTTTAGGGTTCCTTTATAAACCGTAAATAGCCTGACGATGCCCTCTTAAACTCTGATAAACGCTACATCGCCACGCGGAGAAAGCCATAACTATCACGGAAAGTACAGTAATGACTCCCTGAACCCTAAACCCTAGAACCCCAAAAAACTGGAAACCCTAAATCCTAAACCCTAACACCCTAAACCCCTAACCCCAAGCCCTAAACCCTAAACCCAAACCCCAAAAAACGGGAACCCAAGCCTGGCAAAGGTGTCCCTGACCGCCGTCGCCTGGTTCAGCGGCCTCGCGCTGGCATTCGGCAACATTGTTAGTTTAGGGTTTAGGGTTTAGGGTTTAGGGTTTAGGGTTTAGGGTTTAGGGTTTAGGGTTTAGGGTTTAGTAAGGTATCCCCTTGTCGTCGGTGGTTTTATAAGGTATACTATTCCTTGTTATAAGTATAGTATAATGGGCCCCCAAGCCCTATTCTAATTATTTTGGTCCCTATGTTAGGGTTTTGGATTAAGTCTGAGGCTATGGGCTTTAGCGCCTCCATCTTAGGGTTAGTTGGGACTCTTGGGTTTAGGGCTCAGGGTTTAGGGGGTTTAGGGTTTTCAGAGCCACTGGGGTAAGGATACTGTAAGGGTTTACACCAGAAAGATTGACAGAATCAGTATGGTCGGACCTCATAAACCTATACTAATACAAGTTGAAGGCCATCCATACAGCTACCAAGAGCACCTGAGCCCCAAGCCGTCTCAGCTAGAGATTCTGGAGTCGAGAAGGCTTGCGTAACCAGCCTCAAAGAACGCTTCCAGAGCCCTGGTAAACAAAGACCATATACGCATAGCCCCTACATTACCAAAGAAGAACCCTTCCATACCCTTACCCTAAGGGTCCAAGTACCTCATAATCATACACTTTCCCAAATACTAACCTACATAACCCGAAACCTAAGTACCCGATCCTTTAGGGCTACGGAACGGACTTCGAAGCGGCGGCCTCTTCCGGGACACCACCTAGGCCAGCAGTTGGTTCAACACCGCCCCAGCTCTAGAGCCTGAAGAATTTACAATGGAGCCTTTTGGGTGTCTATCGGTGTATCTATCACATCTAATCGAGTGAAGGCTAGTCCAGTCCAGTCAAACATAATCCTATCCTATCCATCCCCCTCTGAACCCACTCTAGTCTAATCCCATCTGCTCTAATTCTAATCTATCTAGTAGGGAGCCCGAAGGGATGCTACTACTAGATTCTCCGGTCCCCATACTTCGAGGGTTTCAGAGACAGGCTCCATGATTTTGGAGTTGCGAGGCTCCAAGCCAAAACCCCAATTAAGTTGAGGGGTCGAGGCTTTAGGCTGTGGGTTGAGGGTTTAGGGTTTAGGGTCTAGGCTGCGGGTTGAGGGTTCAAGTTTAATGCAGGGGCCTTAATAATTAGAATAGGGTTTTGTGGTAGACTATACATAATAAGGAACCCCCAAAATAGTATAGGCATTAAGGCCCCCCCTATATTAGGGGCTTTAGGACTTTGGGGCTTAGGGTCTTTCAGCCGGGTTCAGGGCATAGCTTCCTCCGCAACAAACCTCTGGCTCGGAAACGGTTAGCCGGTTAACCTTTCGCAATGGTAGCATTACATACATGGGGAGTTGTCAAAATTAGGGTCCCTTTTGGGGTACCCTAAATAATAGGTGCCGTATTACAATAGGACCCAAAAAGGGACCATAATTTTGACAACCACCCATATGTTATACCCAAGTGGGTTGAAGGTCACCTACACTCAGAGCCACAAAGCCTCAACTGGACCTAAACTCCAAAACCTACCTGGGCCGAAAACTAACCTGCCTTTTTAGGGCTCCTTACTGCAAGTCCTTAAGTCCTTGGGGGTTTAGGTTTAGGCAGGCCAGAGTGCCGACTCTCCCAAGGGGCCAGTGTTTGCATCATAATGAGCCAGCTCTACATTCGAGCGGTTCTGCGCTTAGGGCTGTTCCTGTCGTTCTGCAAAACTGTGAGGATACTGACGATGATAACCCTAATGATGATGATCACAGTGTTCCTGATAGAGACGAGGAAGGTGACACCGACGGTGGGGATGGCGTTAGCTATGACTTCCGATGATCACCAGGCGAACAAGACTACGGACAACTTTGTATGATTACGGTTCAGGTAATTGCAACCCCGCCACCTCACCACCAGGCATCTTCAGCTTCTGCACCTCGATCCTCATCGTGGTATGCTTTGAGGTACACAACGCAGAGTCTTCATGGGGCCCTAAACCCTAAACCCTAAACCCTAAAAACCCTACGGTTCAGGGTTTAGGGTTTAGGCTCTGGTCTTTAAAGGGGCTTTCAACCGGGCTCTCAGGTTGAGGACAGTCGGGCAGAGGATTCGGCAACCCTGAAGCCCTTAACCGTAATGTAGGGGCCTTATGAAGAATTAGCATAGGGTTTTGGGGCCCGTTAGACTGTAGTTAGAATCAGAAACCCCCAAAATAATGTAGGTAATTACTAAGGCCCCTACATTACCTCAAGCCATAAACTAAACAGCTCTTGAAGGTGAAGCCTGGAGGAGCTACAGGCCTGGAAACTAATCGCAACCGGGGTGGACTTGGTCCAGGTCGTTTGAGGGATAACATAGGGGCCTTGATAATTAGAATAGGGTTTGGGGGTATCTTGTACTATTATCATAAAAAGGAACCTCACCCCAAAGCCCATTCTAATTATTAAGGCCCCTAAACCCTAAACCCTAAACCCTGAACCCTTAACCCTAAACCCTAAACCCTAAACCCTAAACCTTAAACCCTAAACCCTACAGTAGGGCTAGTATATCAGGAACAGAGGAGAAGAGACGAGGAGTGGAGAAGCTCGGCTCTCTAGTTCCGAAGGTCTCGGCTTGCTGTGAAAGCTCCGGGTTTAGGGCTTAGGGTTTGGGGTTTAGGGTTTAGGGTTTAGGGCACACTCTGGAA